TGGCAATAATTACAAAAAAACATTTATAAGTAACTTATAAGTAAAGTAGCCTCTTATCAACCTCTTGTAATGAAATGAAAAAAGCACAATTGTTCCTTTGGTACTGCCAGAACAATAATAGTGCTTGTTGTAAGTTCTGTTTGCTATGAGATTGAAAAGTTAGGCTAGAAAAAATGCAAAATTATAGCAGTGTCTTCCTGCTATAATGTATGTAGGTAATATTGCACTATATGTATGTATAATATCTAGGTTCAAAGGACCAAATAATCCGGTTCCAAAGGACCAAATATTGTGGGGAAATTCCAGGCAGCTAATCTCTCTTTTTCAAATTGACTTTAATAAAATAAAGTTATGTCTTATTTATTTTTTTTAGTAAGTAAGAATTAATTGAGTGGACTGTATATACTTGTAAACTGCCTGAAATCTTCTTACACACTATTGGGAGGGACAATTGGTAGCCTAAACCACTTTGTTATGGCTCCTTCTTAAACTACCAATTGTTTACCTTTTAATTTGTTATAATTCAGTATACCACATATGGTGGTCTAATCTACTATTAATACTAATTAAAACTACTAAGAGTATTAATGGCTTAGCTGTGCCAGTAGTGTGGGCTTGGTAAGGAGTGTAGGTGTATCCTCCAGATTGGGTGTGGCCCTGTGCCTCCTGGTGCCACGTAATGGCGGCTTGTGGGAATGACAAAGCTATGCAAACAATAGTAATGTGTATGAACCAACTGTCTGCTCAACTTCTTGATGCTCCTCTCACAATTTACCTGTATGGGATGCAAGGAATTAATCAAAGTTCCCTAAACATATCAATTACAGGTATGACATGAACTGTGAGGGTTGTAAATGGGGTGTACACGTACATGTGGTTTGGGTTGTTCATACATTATGACCGACTTATTTTTATAAATGAATAAATGTGCACACTATAATTCAGATACAAAATACCTGATAAGCCGGATACAGTCGTTGTTAGGCTGTGTTGCTGGTGTTGACACGTAAATAGGGTGTCTAGCTGTTTACACCAGCTAGCCAAGACAGCGTGGTGGCTGCTCTGTTGTTGTTGTTAAGATCTGATGCGGGAGCCTCCCTCCCAGTCGGGCAACGCCCTCATGCTGGTTCCTCTCTCAAAGTAATTTTACATTAACAAGGGAACCTAGCTACAATACGGTGTCAATAATTATATTCAGTCTTATTGAATATTTTTTTGTTAACTCTAGATACTAAACTAGTCAATTAACAATGTTTCATAATGTAAATATCGATGAAATCCATGACATCACTGAGTCGATGACGTTACGGAGTCTCCCATTTTCCATCCTGAAGGGAATACAGACTAAGGGAGACTGTGTTATATGTGTGTGTGTGTGTGTGTGTGTCGGTTTCCCGACAATATCAGCGCTTCGTGAGTGATTTTGCTGGGCGTTCTTTCCAGCTCCCAGGCTCTGCTGGTACTGTGGAGGTGTCGAACCAGTGTGTGACGTCGACGTTTGTCAGCATCCATGAAGTTCCCTTGGACTTTCCCGAGGAGGTCCTTCACACTTGCTTCTCTCAGTACGGTACTGTGTTCACTCACCGCATAACTTGTCTCCGCTCAGGCCGCCTGTCGGGCTTGAGGACCAATGTGCGGACCCTTGGCATGCGCCTGACATGTGATATTCCATCTCAGGTCACATTCTACGGCTTTAAATTGCGGGTATTCTAAGAGGATCACCCGCGCAACTGTTTTAGGTGTGGCTTCCGAGGGCATCTTGTGGCCCGATGCACTGCTTCCGGGGTGGGGAGGCCAGCCCTCTTTTAGGAGGGTGATTTTCCCCCATTGGGGGTTGGGTGGGCCAAGCCGGGTGTTGCAGAGGCCGTGAGTGTCCCCCTCGACCCATCCCCGTCGTTGGTGCCTTCTGATTTGATTGTTCCTACTCCGCCTGTTCAGCAGTTTGGCTAACCTGGCCTGTTGGTGTCTGTTGTGGCAGCCTCGCTTCTTGAGCACATCATCACTGCAGAGTTTCATCGGGATTCAACTGTTGCTGATGTGGAGTCGGGCACGCCTGTGGCAGCTGCTCCATCATGTGTAGGTGGGATTGGCGATCCTGCGGGTCCTCCATGTGGTGTTGGTCCATCATCTGGTGACCGTGCATCCGACGTGGTTGCTGCTGCTCCGATGGCACTGCGTTATACTCGTGGTTCTAGAGGGCCTTCCCCGGTTACGACGTCGGATCAGCCCTGTCATAAGCAGGAGGCACAGACGCGTTCCTCGGACACAGATCCTCCCATCAAGCGAGGGGGGTCTACGGCTGGGGCTGCTGAGGCGTGTGCCCCTCCTCCTCCTCCTCCTCCCTCTGGTGGCCTGCTGGGGTTTGTTGCTCCCGGGGCTCCCTCTGGGGGCAGTGATGCCCCGAAGGCGGTTGAGGATGCTCAGTGGGTGGTGTCCACTGGTGTGGAAGGTATTGGACGGGATGCACTGACTATGAAGTTTATGAAGTCTACGAAGAGTGTGGGCGCCAACGTTCCTGTGGCGCCCTCCGCTACAGGGTTGCCAGATGATGCGCCTACTGTTCCTGTTGCCTTCCTTGTGGGGGACTCTGGTGTGAGATTTTTTTCTATGCCTACCTCCCTTAGGAGGTGGACTACAAGTTTGAAGGCTGCTCATGGCAGTTAAGCATGAGTCCAATAGAAATAGGAAAAGCGGGAGCAAACCGTCAGGCTTTCACCACTAGGGGTGAAAACCTGTCCACAATAGGCCGCTGGTTCCTCCTTGTTACACAGGACGTTAAAACTAATAAAGGGTAACCAACGGGTTCTCACAATCAAATATTTATATTTGATGTGGCGCTATGAATTGGAATTCGAATTCCCAAGAACAGCTATCATATCAAAAGATCACATCAACATTCAATCGTATAAAGAAGAACATGGGTGGAAAAGAATGGTTGAAGGGTTGACATCAAAGACCGTTTTCTATAACATAACAATTTATTAATAACAAGAGACTAAACTACTACATTATCGAGTTTACATTACGCTAATGTCCATCCAGTGGCACGATAACAAACAGCTAAATAGCAACCCTTGCTGTGCGGTTGCATACTAAACTAACCTGAACACAGGTGTGCCCACTGATGACGCAATATTGCAAATCAAAAAAAAATATCACAGACTAAGTTACATTACTGAGTGACTTCCCAGGAAACACAAATCGTCTAGAAAACGTTCATCTATGTCTTCCCATAGGTATAGGAATGACTTGCAATGAGAATGGTGCAGAAGAGCCTTTAAAAAACTTTTAATCCAAAAACCCAAACACATAGGTTTTATAATAAATGGTTTTTCTACAACTATTTTGTTCCTAATGTATTACAAATAGTTTTTACATGTTTAAATATAAAATTTATGGTGTTTTTTGTAAAATTCACTAATAAATTGTGAATGATATTTAATGACTGAATGAAACCTTCAAAATAAATTTAGTTATGCTATGATCAGAAAAAAAGTAGTTTTCCAAATATTCTAAAAATCGCTCTTTTTAACACAATTTGACTCCTTATGCATTCCACTAAACACTATTATCATGTTTAAATATAAAATTTATGTATTATTCCCTAAAATAATTTATATAAATTGTAAAAGTTGCTGGAAAGTGGTGTGAAAGAATCTGAAAACGTTTTGTTGTCTTATATATTAGCCTGTTCTTATTAACAATGTCTCAAGTGCACAGTTTATCAAACAAGAAGATTAACATTCGTCAATTCTTAAAATCTTATATGTTATCTTGCGGCTGCAAAATAGGAGAATCTTTAAGTACAGTATCTATATGATAAATGGTGTTTTCCCTAACTCAAACAATGTAGGGTTTATTATTTTATACATATTTCTAATGACTCTTAGGTGTTTACATTCTCTGAAGTATAGTTGTCAAGGCTGTGTCCATCACTCTCACCACAGAGTCTTAAACTCCTCTGCATGTTCAACTATAATTGTTTCCATTCTGAATCTCCATGGACATTTGTATCCAAAATGAAACCAATGTGGTTTCCTTCAGCAGCCAGCACATTTGCTCATTCATTTCCACAGATTCCAACATGGTAGGGGATTCACTGAAATTTGGCTATTCATATTGTTATCTATTATATGAATGCATTTCCATATTATAAGACAAATACATAAGTTTATGATAAATTCGTTTTCTATGATATAACATTGGTATGCTGTTTTTTCTTTAAACCGCATACTGAACTAAATCACGAGAGTATATATTGTTTATATATAGAGTATATATATTGGGTGGTGAAGGGTAGTGTGGGGTGGTTGAGGGTAGTGTGGGGTGGTGGAGGGTAGTGTGGGATGGTGGAGGGTCGTGTGGGGTGGTGGAGGGTAGTGTGAGGTGGTGGAGGGTCGTGTGGGGTGGTGGAGAGTCGTGTGGGGTGGTGGAGGGAAGTGTGGGGTGGTGGAGGGTAGTGTGGGGTGGTGGAGAGTCGTGTGGGGTGGTGGAGGGTAGTGTGGGGTGTTGGAGAGTCGTGTGGGGTGTTGGAGGGTAGTGTGGGGTGTTGAAGGATAGTGTGGGGTGTTGGAGGGTCGTGTGGGGTGTTGGATAATAGTGTGGGGTGTTGGATAATAGTGTGGGGTGTTGGAGGGTCGTGTGGGGTGTTGGAGGGTCGTGTGGGGTGTTGGAGGGTAGTGTGGGATGGTGGAAGGTCGTGTGGGATGGTGGAGGGTCGTGTGGGATGGTGGAGGGTAAGGGATGAGGAGGGCAGTTTAGTCAGGACCTTAACGGTCGTCACGGTGGGTGACTGTGTCCGAACACTCGCGAGGGTTTTCAAATTATGAAACGAAATGATGTATATATAAAAAAAAAATGTCGTAAATATGCAGCAAGGAAATAAGACATGTCAATGCATTAATATTATTACGGGTTTAAAAACTAAAAATTTGATGGAAATATTTCTGAATTCAGATGCTATAATGTTGAGGAATAGTTTGAGATTTCGAACACTGCCACTATCCCAAGAGGCCCCTGCAGTCTTCCATTAGGCCTTGTCCTGTGAACACGTGGACGCTGCTGCTACATCCCACTAGAACAATTCACGCTATACTAAATATGTTACGATTCCATTTCAATGTTTCCAATTTCATTGATTTAATTGAAAATTTATCAATTGAAAATTCAGTTGATAAATTGAATTTTCATAGATTTCAAATTATTATCATTTTAATTTAATTATTTTGTGACACTGCGTTGGAATTAAGCTTTGTTGTTTACCATACCGTTATTTCGTGAGTACAGTTTATTTTTTTATTTCTTCATTTTTTTCATTTCGTTTTTTAACTGTTTTTCTTATATTTCAGTGATGGGAACATCGGATCATTTGATGTTCCCATTTTTCTGATGGGAACATCAGATAATTTAGGAATGCATCGGACGAGGGAGTGGGGAATGGTAGGGAGGCGAGGGGACGGAAGTGGGGGATGGTACTGAGGACGACGAGACAAGGGGGGGGGAATGGTGGGGAGGACGAGGGGATGGGAGAGTTGGGGTTGGTGAGGACGAGGGAACAGGGGAATGGAGAATGATGGAAAAGGACAAGGAGACAGGAGACTGGAAGATGGTGCGGAGGACGAGGGAACAGGGGGGGAGAGAAGAATAATAGGGAGGTCGCAGGGAGTGAGAGATGGAGGAGAGTACGAGGGGATAGTGGAGTGGGGAATGGTTAGATGGACGAGGGGACGGTGGAGTGGGGGATGGTGGGGAGGACACAGGGAAGGGGGAGGGAGGACGAGGGGATGGGGGAATGGTTGGGTGGACGAAGGGACAGGAGAGTGAGGAATGGTTGGGAGAATGAGGGGACAGAGGAGGGGGAATGGTGGGGAGGACTGAGAGACAAGGGGAAGGTTGCTGTGGCTCAGCAATGCACATGCGTTGCTGAGCCACAACAACGCTTGGCCGGGTAAAGCTAGTGAAGTACATAAATATTAATAATATTTTACATGACACAGTCCAATAGTAACCACATGGTATACTGTGATTACTTATTGATTATTCTGCACCTGTCATATCTTGTTTTGGTATAATTCATGTATACCAAAACAATTTGTAAATGTGCGAAATGAATCCACGATAATAATCTCGGGATGTCCAAGAATTACAATGATCGAGATAATGAGGATGGAATTGAACTTACAGTGCATTGGCGATAGAATTTCAGAAACAAATGTAGCTTCGGCGCTTATATTAATGAGAAGCGGAGGATCTAATGGATTCATCCTCTTATTTCTAAAAGTACATACTTCAACTGTATGGTGTTCTTCGTTGTTCCTTTGTATACATAGGCGTCGCACAGGGGTTCGGTTCGTAGGCAGTTGGTGGTGGATGTTTGTGTTTCTCAGAGCTTCGTTCGAACGTTTTCTAGCTTCAGTGCTCTTCTTACCTCTTCTTTTTTTCTGATGTTTTCCGACGAGTTTGAATCGGTGACTTTTTTGGGTTTCGTGGTTGTCTTGCTTCTCGTAGATATCGCAGCGCTGGTGGTCAAGGTCGTGGGTGTGGTGTCTGGGAGGAACTCCTTGGATCCGTAGTTGAACTTCTCTTGAGGTGGGGATGTGTTCTGACCGAGAGTTCTTCATCTGATGAGTCGGATGCATCGAAAGCAGAGGCGGTGGAGGTTGTGGTCTCTGTAGCTTGAGAGGTGGCAGGTACTGTAGTTGAGGGAGGCGCGACGCCGCCCGTTCAGCTGCAGGGATGGTGGGTGGAGCTGCAGCAGATGTAGTAGTTTGTGAAGGAGTCGGTGCTGGTGCCGCTTCCTCTCCGGTGGCTGCGGGATCTGGTATGGCAGCAGTGGACAGTAGATCCGTGAGTGATGCAGTGTTCATCGTGATGTCGGGATTAGGGGCCTGCATAGCACTCGCAGCTGTAGTAGAGGTGGAGTAGACTTCCTCAGGCACGGTGAAGGTCGGGAGGCTATTTGCAGTGAAGAGTATGTTCAGGATCCTCGCATATTCTCGGTAGTTGGATCCAGCAATCTTGGCTGCCACTGAGGTTAGGGCGTATACCGTGCTGTGTGGTGGGGCAGGAGCCGGTATCGGCTGTGAAGTCGACTGGGTCAGTAGTTGGCTGTTGGACTGGGAGCTTGGTCTCCATTGGCTGGGTTGAACTTTAGTAGCTATTTGTCGGACCATTCTTTCAGTTTGTCTAGTTCATCTTGTAGCCTCATACTATCTTCCTCTGTCTTAATCTTCATCATAGTTTTTGCATCATCACCAAACATTGAGAGGAACGAGTCTAAGAAACCCTCATGGAGATCATTTACATATATCAGAAACAGTATAGGTCCGAGGACTGATCGCTATGGGACTCCACTGGTGACCCGTCGTCACTCTGAGACCTCACCCCTTACAGTGACTCGCTGTCCTCTGTTGCTTAGGTACTCCCTTATACAAAGGAGTACCTTCCCTTTCACTCCTGCCCGCATCTCCAGCTTGTTTACTAGTCTCTTATTTGATACTGTGTGCGTGTATTTACTCTTTGTATCTGCAGAATCGAGCTATTAGTGCTTTGTCCCAGCTTTTCCAGACCCAATTTATTTGTCCTCTATTATGTCTTCTACTTATATTTATCTTACACACGCACACGCACACACACACACACACACACACACACACACACACACAGAAAGAGGAATTGTTAGAAAGGAAGTGCTGTCTAGCAAAGGTAGAGAAGTTCAAAAGAGTATTCCTGCAGATGACAAGGGAAGAGAGAAAGCAGGCAGCAGACGCGAGGAAGGAGTGCAGGGAGAGAGAAAGGAATCAGGGAGCCACAACCCCGATCCCTGCAATCTCAGAGGGGAATGGGGAACCCTCCTCAAACAGTGCACTAGCCACAGGGAGTGCGGCACCACCCCCACATTCTACCCAACAGACAACCTACCTGCCCCAACCCCTGTCAGCCCCCCACTAAGTACCCACCTAAGGCACCCTCCCCCCACCCACCCCTCTCCTCCCACTCATCCCCCTCCTCCCACTCATCCCCCTCCTACCACTCCCCCCTCCCCCAGGACCTCCTTTCTCCCCCATCCCCCAAGCCTTCCCTTCTCCCACATGCCCTCCCTTCTCTCCCACCCACAAGCCCTCCGTTCTCCCCCTTCCCCCCACTCTCCCCCACCCCACCTAAGCCTTCCCCTCTCTACCACACCCCAAAACCCTCCCCTCCTCCTCACCCACCTCAAACTTCCCTTTCCCCACATGCCCCCCAAGCCCTCCCCACTTTACTGCCCCCCCAAACCCCCCCTTCTCCCCCATCCCCCCAAACCTCCTCCTCTCACCCCCCTCAACCCTCCCCCTTTTACCCCCTCCCCCCAACCCTCCCCCTACCCTCCCCTCCCCCCCCCCACCCCCAAGCCCTTCCTCTCCCACCAGTCTCCCCGTACCAGATCCTCCCAGCTCCCGCTCACCCCAGACGCCACAGGTCCCCCCCCAGAGGAGAAGCAGAAGAGAGTCAGTTTCAGGGTGATGTACTCGAACATAGATGGGATCACAAGCAAGGCAAGTGAACTAAGAGAAAGAGCACAAGAAGTGAACCCAGATGTAATCGGACTCACTGAAACAAAACTCTCTGGAATCATAACGAATGCCGTGTTTCCCCAGGAGTACACAGTAATAAGGAAAGAGAGGGAAGGTAGGGGAGGAGGAGGAGTGGCCGTACTCATGAGAAAGGAATGGAATTTTAAGGAGATGGATATCCCGGGCTGTGAGGGTTTCAGAGACTACATAGCAGGCACCATGAAAATGGGAGGACCAAGAATAGTAGTAGCAGTAATATATAACCCTCCACCAAATGACAGAAGACCCAGTCAAGAGTACGAAAACAACAACATGGCAGTTAACACTATAATTGAGAGGGCAGCCTCTGCTGCCTGTAGAAATAGATCCCACCTGCTCATCATGGGGGACTTCAATCACGGAAGGATTGATTGGGAGAACAAGGAACCGCATGGAGGCGAGGATACGTGGAGAGCAAAACTACTGGAGGTGGTGACTAGAAACTTCTTAACCCAGCATGTCAGAGAACCCACAAGGATGAGAGGAAATGACGAACCAGCGAGACTCGACCTGGTCTTCACCCTGAACGACTCTGACATAAGAGAAATCGGTTTTGAGGCCCCAGTAGGAATGAGCGACCACAGTGTACTGGTGTTTCAGTACCTGATTGAAGAAGGGTTATTGAACTCGAGGAGAGATACCAAAACAAAAGGTTAGCCTACCGAAAGGGAAACTATGAGGAGATAAGAAAATTCCTAACAGATATAGCATGGGAAACAGAGCTCAGGGAAAAGACGGCTCAAGATATGATGGACTACATCACGCAAAAAAGCAAGGACGCAGCAAACAAGTTTGTTCTAGCCCAAAAGGAAAACAGTGAAATGAAGATGAGAAACCCATGGTTTAATCAGAGATGAAGACTAGCTAAGCAGCAAAGTAAAAGGGCATGGAGAAACTATAGGAATAACAGGACACTGGAGAGCAGAGAAAGATACCAGAATGCCAGGAATGAATATGTCAGGATGAGAAGAGAGGCAGAAAGACAATACGAAAATGACATCGCAAGCAAGGCAAAGACTCAGCCTAAATTGTTGCATAGCCACATCAGGAGAAAAACAACAGTAATGGAACAGGTTATGAAATTAAGGATAGGGGCAGAAGGATTCACTACAAATGACAAGGAAGTGTGTGAGGAACTGAATAAGAAATTCCAAGAGGTCTTCACCTTAGTGCAAGGAGAAATCCCAGAGATAAGAGAGGGAATAGCTAACCAGGAACCACTGGAAGAGTTTGAGATTACCAGCAGGGAAGTAAGGAAGTGTTTACTAGAGTTGGATGTGACAAAGGCTATAGGCCCAGATGGAATCTCCCCTTGGGTACTAAAGGAAGGAGCAAGAGAACTGTGCCTACCACTCTCCATAGTGTATAACAAATCACTGGCAACAGGGGATCTGCCAGATATTTGGAAAGCAGCTAACGTAGTCCCGATATAGAAGAAAGGGGATAGACAGGAGGCACTGAACTACAGGCCAGTGTCCCTAACCATGCAAGCTGATGGAGAAGATTGTGCGAAAAGAACTAGTGAAGCATCTGGAGTGAAGGAACTTTGTAACACAGCATCAACATGGGTTCAGGGATGGCAGGTCCTGCCTCACAGGGTTACTTGAATTCTATGACCAGGCAACAAAAATAAGGCAAGAAAGAGAAGGGAGGGCAGACTGCATATTTTTGGATTGTCAGAAAGCCTTTGATACAGTGCCACACAAGAGGCTAGTGCGAAAGTTGGAGATGCAGGCTGGAGTGAAAGGGAAAGTACTCCGGTGGATAGAGGAGTACCTAAGCACCAGGAGACAAAGAGTCTGTGTGAGGGTTGAGGTCTCAGATTGGCGAGACGTTACAAGCGGAGTCCCGCAGGGGTTATATGTAAATGATTTCCCAGAGGGTAGAGATTCGTTCCTCTTAATGTTTGCCGACGATACAAAAATTATGAGGAGGATTGAAACAGAGGATGATAGTAGGAGGCTACAAGATGACCTAGATAGACTGAGTGAATGGTCCAACAAATGGCTGTTGAAGTTCAACCCAAGTAAATGTAAAGTAATGAAACTAGGCAGTGGAAACAGGAGGCCAGACACAGGATACAGAATAGGAGATGAAGTACTTAATGAAACAGACAGAAAGAAAGATCTAGGAGTTGATATCACACCAAACCTGTCTCCTGAAGCCCACATAAAGAGAATAACGTCTGCGGCATATGCAATCATTCAGAATCTTGTGCACCACGTATGTAAGACCAATCCTGGAGTATGCGGCCCCAGCATGGAGCCCGTACCTTGTCAAGCACAAGACGAAGCTGGAAAAAGTCCAAAGGTATGCTACTAGACTAGTCCCAGAACTAAGAGGCATGAGTTATGAGGAAAGGCTGCGGGAAATGCCCTTTACGACACTGGAAGACAGAAGAGTAAGGGGTGACATGATCACAACCTACAAAATCCTCAGGGGAATCGACCGGGTAAACTAGGATGAACTATTCAACACTGGAGGGACGCGAACAAGGGGACACAGGTGGAAGCTGAATACCCAAATGAGCCACAGAGACATTAGAAAGAACTTTTTCAGTGTCAGAGTAGTTAGTAAATGGAATGCACTAGGAAGTGATGTGGTGGAGGCTGACTCCATACACAGTTTCAAATGTAGATATGACAGAGCCCAGTAGGCTCAGGATTCTGTACATCATTTGATTGACGGTTGAGGGGCGGGGTCAAAGAGCCAGAGTTCAACCCCTGCAAACACAACTAGGTGAGTACAAGTTGCTGAGTACACTCACACACACACACACACACACACACACACACACTCGAGGGGCCTCGTAGCCTGGTGGATAGTGCGCAGGACTCGTAATTCTGTGGCGCGGGTTCGATTCCCGCACGAGGCAGAAACAAATGGGCAAAGTTTCTTTCACCCTAAGTGCCCCTGTTACCTAGCAGTAAATAGGTACCTGGGAGTTAGTCAGCTGTCACGGGCTGCTTCCTGGGGTGTGTGTGGTGTGGAAAAAAAAATAGTTAGTAAAACAGTTGATTGACAGTTGAGAGGCGGGCCGAAAGAGCAAAGCTCAACCCCCGCAAAAACACAACTAGTAAACACACACACACACACACACAAACACCAATGAAAGCACGAGCTCCATACATGGATCTCTGACAGTGGATGGGAAGAAGATTGTAATCTTGATACTCTACAATCCCCCACCAAACAGTAGAAGGCCCAGGCAGGAGTATGAGGACAGCAACAATGCATGTATAGATGAACTGCAGAGGGCAGCAACAATAGCGCAT